GGGGGGGGGGGAGTGGAGCCTCGAGAAACATTGTTGGGAGGGAGATCCTTGGCCCCTATTCATTCCTTGTAGGGTTACAAACCTCTCTTCAACATAGGTGACAATGAGCAAGGCGGAGATGGAAGAGATCAAACACGGAAATAAGAAGCAAGCTCGCTCTCCCCTTTGTCCTTTTTCCTTGCCTTGTTCAAGGTTGGCCTAATGGTATGAAAAAAAAAATATGGGTTTTATGCTCTAAATTTTTAGAAAATAAGAGATAGAGTAAGGTCTTTGTTATGATAATCTTCTCTTTACATGAAGAAGACAATTTTACGAAGACTACGAAACAATCATAACATCGTCTTCTGCACCCCGCTCTATGCTCATTAGCCCATAGATAGGATTCCAATTCATTGATTTACACTTGAATTGCACCTCTTAACATTCAACGATCCAGTTCCTTCTTTCATGAAATCTAATTTGACTATTAATTATATCAACCATCCGACCATTGACAACAAAAATCAACCATCATAATTTGATCACTCCTAGAGTGCGACAATGCACCTTTAGTGCCTTACAACTCATTGCCTACAAATTGTGCACCTTCTCACGTTACCTTGTTTAAGCATTAGGTGGCGTTTGAGATGACTTAAATGAAATATTTTTTAGATTTTTGACATACTATAGACACTTTAACAAAAAAACCCAAAAAAAACAAAACATTCTACTTGCAGTAATGCGTATAATCTGAGTATAGACACTATTCTATTTTGTCAATAATGCATGTAATCTACAGAATCTACCTTAATTCTTCAATTATAAGTAAATATGTGTTTTTCAGCAATATGCAAAGAATAGATGTGACAAACAAAAGGTTTAGCATCAACAAGTTCTTCATCCGTTTGTGCATCGTTGAGGTTAGTTCATTAATTTAAGGTTATTTTGCTAAACCAATCTCTCTAACCCTTAAGTTTTCTCTTTCACATGGGTTAAATTGGAGTAGTAATTTACTTTATTTACCATCCGCTAATTGACTATTTATTTCAAATGCCATGGATTCTTTTGGTGCTTACTTTCTCCATTATTTGACCGATCAACAATTAGATTTTGTTAGATTTACCTTTTGTTTACAGTTGAATAAATAATACAGGCACTTTAAACTAAAGTGAAGTTTATGATATTCCTACATGACCCAACATATTAAAAAGAGAAAGCAATTTGACTTACTAAATGGAGAAGGATAACTACTTCTGCGATTAACCAATAGAAAACTGAAATGAAATATAAGAAATCATTTGCTACCATGTATACTATTTTTTTCGCACATAAAATTTAGTTTAGTAGTATCATAATATCTCTACAAGTTGTTGTAAAAAATTAGACTCGATTAAAGGATATTGCAAAAAATGACATCATGTCGAGCAAACAAAAGTCATGCTCAATTAACACAAGAACAAAGAGAATTGTATATCGAAATAATGGGAGAAAAAACGAAGGATATCTAATAGTACATTAGTACCAGAGCATCAACGTGATCACTAAAGTGCATAATCGTAAATCCCCATAGTGGAATTTTTTCATTTAAAGGCACAAAAAGAAAAAAAGGAAAACCCCTCAACGAAGTTTTTATACATTATCCTCATTTTTAGTTACTAGTAATGTATCATGTGCGTTGCACATGAATAATTTTCTTACACAAAAATTAATAAAAATATATTAGGTATATATGTATCTGAATTAAATATTATTTCAAATTTATGAAAACTTAATTTTTTATTGCTCATATTTTATTATACGATTATGAAAACTTTGTATGTTCCCAAAATTATTTGTTCTAATTATAAAAAAAATAGGTAAAGTTCTATTTTTTTTAGAATATTGTGATTGAAATTAATTTTTTTTGTGATTTTTAAGAAATTAAATTTTTCGAAATTCATTTTATTAGGATTATATTTATAATTCCTTGAATAAAACAAAAGTAATTGTCAATATATTAATTATGTTGGAATTTTACTGCAATTAAGAATTAATTAGGTCAATTGAGGTAAGATTTAATATACTATTCTATAAATTCTAAAAAATTCAAGTTTTGTTTAAAAAATACACTAAAATATATATTTTTACATAGAATCTTAGTACAACTTAAAAAGTATATTGTGACTAAAAAATTATGTTGATGTAACATAAATTGATTTTAAAAATATATATATACAATTATTTTTATCTTAGGAATGAAAGGGTTAAATTTTTTGATGAAAAAGAAAATACAATATGTAGGCATAATGTCATCTTTATATATGAGATGTGTAATATTAGATTGATGGAATTTTTGAAAGTGTTTTGAATACTTTATTGAAAATATAATGATACATATTTTTTTAAGTGTAATATATTCAATTAAAAAGTTTATAGAAACTGATTAATTAATTAAAAGAGATGTTATAGATAATTTGGAGATTTAAAAGACATAAAGATATAATAATAATTTATATATTTAATTGTGAAATGATAAAGTCTTCTTTATAATTCTTTATAAATGTAAAATAGAGTTTCAAAATTTTTTCTTTTTAAAGTATTTTTATTAGTAGTATAAATATAGAATAGATATAGATAGATTGTTGAACCTACATAATTTATATATAAAAAATTGACCTAATCTGCTAACCTAATAATATGTTTTAATTATAACCGTTAGATTAATATTATGTTTCAATATTTAATAAAATCCATAATCAATATAAGAACTAAAGTACCTTAGGTCTAAAACAGCATTGCTCATTATCAATTCCTCTGTATATTTTAAGGAATTTGACATGATAATTAACTTCATCTATTATGTTATTTGCATATCAATCATTACACATGGTTAGTAATCATTCATCACAAGTAACTTTATTATGTTATCTATGTATATCATTCTAAGATGGCTATAAAAAATAAAAAATAATCTACATTTCTTTAAACATTGATATAAATAGGCCAACCATTGTCTCAATTATTACTACCTAAAAGGGCTTAAACTTGAAACTTTTCGTTTTGGGAAAGCAGCCAAGGGAGGAATTAAATATGAATCAATCAACCCCTTATTCAATTCTAAAAATTAGGTTTAATTTGATCAAAACTTAAAAATAAATTATTATTGAAAGAATTTCACCCAGACCTCTTAAGGTTTATCACTTAATCACTCAGACTCCATAACATTTAAAATACAAACTTCTTGAGATTTATACGCATATAATACTTAAACCACTGTCATCAATGTCCGTTATTAAATTATACTCAGATTTTCTGAAGTTTGTAGGCATATAATATTTAGACCTATCAAGTAAAATGTTATTTTAATAAATGTCATAATATAACATGAATTTTGATTGTAAAATTTAAAATCTTTGATATTTTATTTTTGATTGAAGTATTTTTGATGTAAATATAATATTTTAAACTTAGAAAGTTTAAGTATTACACTCTTACAAACTTTAGAGAATTTGAGTATAATTTACTAATAGATATACTAACGAACATTGATGACATGAGTATAATTGTTATGTGTGTACAAAATTTAACGGATTTGTATGTAATATTTCAAATGTTAGAGAATCTAAATAATTAAATGAAAAACTTCTAAAAATTATAGTGTAATTCTCTCATTCCTATTTCAATCAAAGCTTCTCCTATGCTCGTCATCTTCGTATCTAACTTTAATTTGATCGAACAGTCACAAAATTTGTGTCTAACTGTAAATAGAAAATAAGTTTTTAACAAGTATTGTAAGTAAAAAAAATAGGTATTTTATAATTTTTTAAAAATATTCTTTTATTGACTTGAACATGACACGATATAATTGAGAACTATTTAAGTAGCATTAATGGAAGAAATTCTTTTTGAATCATAAATATGGAATATTTACATTTTAAGAGTGCAATTTATAATTTGCCAAAACTTTTTTAACGGCAAAATGAATGACAATTAATCTCAAATGCACATTAATACGAATTTATATCTTTTAGGATATCAATTAATATTTTTAAACTTTGAGGGTGCAAATTGAAGTTCAAGTGATTTTTCAGGGTGCAAGTTGGGATTAGCTCTAAAAAGAATATTATGGGTAAATGCAATGTAAATGGTTTTGAAATAGATTTTAATGGTTGTTGAATGAGTTTATTTAAGACCGTCGATCTATCCTGTTTTATATTATAGATATAAATTAGGAGTAATTAGTGTCTGAAGGCACAATACAATATGAATTATATTTTGAAAAAGATGTTGGTGGCCGTTAGATGAGTATATTTGAGACCGTCGAATGAATTTATTGAAATTTGTTATGTTTTATATTATAGATTATAGATTAACCATTTCATCAACAACATGTATAGGGAAGATTTTTTTTTTTGTTTAAATAATAGTATTTTGACCTAATTTAGTAACATAAATTAATAACTTAATGCATCACAATGCTCTAATTATTATTAATTAATTAAATCAACATCACAATACTCTAATGAGTAGATGGTTTCAACTTTCAACCAATATTACGGTCCATCGTTAAACAACTGATATTCAGTAATTTGATTAGTAAATTAAATCAATGATAAAGATGAAACAAAATGTACAAGTACATGGATACAAAAAAAAAAAATACAAAAAAAAAATAAACACTAAAAACTTAGCGAGTAAATTCAAATACTTTTGTCATTGCTAAAACTTAGATAATTTACAAATTCAATTGAAATAATTAAAAAGTTAAGTGTTTTTTTTTTTTTTTTGGTATGTAATAATATGAAAATACTAAACACAACTACAATTACAATCTAATCAAAATATAATATAGAAATAAATAAAGAAATCATACCTACTTAAATACCCATAAATGTTTTAATCTCAAAGTTTATCTGTAATCTATCTTATCAATCTACATGAAATTTCATTTGCTAGTGGTTGATAATTAATCAAGAAACACTAATGTAGTATTATAAATTTTTAACATTCACGCAAAAAATTTAAATTCTTAATTTACCGTTTAAAAAAATGCAAAAAGACAGAATTATTTACCATTTAATAACTTATTTAATTTTATTACGCATATATACTAGGTATTTCTAATAAATTTAATAAAAAATTTATAATCTAAATTTTTTCAAGTGTAACGCATGTGTTCATTACTAGTGATATATAAAAGCAGAGTTTTAATTTTGTCTACGAAAAATGGTAATTGAGCTACCCTACTCAATAACATCATGTGGCAAAATCTAGTAAGAGATATCAGTATCATTCAAGAATTCTCTATATATAATAATGGAGTTAGACATTCGAATCTTATACATATATATTTTTTATGTCCATTTCTATTACATCACTTATTTTTATCACAAAGTTGAATTATTTAAATTTTTTATTAATTTGTCACTCAATATAATTTTATTTAAAATAATGGGTATAAATTAATTTCAAATTATATAATTTCAACAAAGTTAAAAAAAATTATTATTTGATATAGTAGTATCAATTTTTTGGACAATCAAATTTTATATTGCACTGTTTCTTCTTGCACGAGTTTTAGCCGGTTAGAGCATATTTTAAAGGGTCAATAGTATTTTTGATCCCTAAAGTATGCACATTTTATCAGTTTAATTTTTAATGTATTAGTTTTATCAATTTATCTTTTAAAATATTTAATTTATTTTTAAATGGTCCTTACACAAGTGGACCGTTAAATTTTTTGTCAAAATTATTATGTGTTGATTAACTGGTACTTTTTGAAAGAATAACATGCGATCATTTACGTCAAAAAATTTAATGAATTATCTTATTAGGGACTAAAGTGACACAAATTAAAATTTTAGGGACCAAATTAATAAAATTTATGCAATGAGAAATAAAACGATTATATTTTAGGGACCAAAAGTATTTACTAACCCATTTTACAATTATCAGAATTCAAGGGGTCTCTAGTATAATTTTCCCTATCTTAGTATCTTATTTTATTGACCGCGACAAAGAAATAATTGGGCCCAAAGTCGTAAATCTGGAAGTTCGAGCGAAACTAGCCACTTCCTCTCCTTGCCGTGGGAAAATCGTACATAATTCTCCGAGTTTCGTTTCGCTCTCTCTCAATCTTCACGTTAGATCCAAACCTCCGCCGGCAATCCGATGCGGTCCACCGTCCGGTTATTCTCTCTCATCCCCCTTATCGGCGTCCTCATTGTATCGTCGGTGTTCGCTTCCGAGTCCGATCACAAGGTAAACTCTCACTCTCAATCTTCATGCCCTACTTTTAGCTGACTTTTTTTCATTTTCCATATTATATATTTTAATTCGTGGATCTCGATTTGCGCATGGACAGTACTTTCAATTCTATCAGATCTATGTTATTTGTGAAGTTTTTGTAATCGTTAGATTTTGGATGCATGTGCCCTTCGGTTCATTTGGTGTGCAAGACTCGATTCGAGTTTCAAGAGTGTAATCACTTTATATTTGGCATATTATGTATGGATAAGTCTTAGGGTTTAGATCTCGAGAGGTTTTTTTTCCCTTGTTTTTCCGCCAGAGTTGACCATGTGTTATTGATATTGCTAGTGTTCGGAGTTTGGGTTGGGCAAGTGTGAGGGTAGTGATGAGATTCTGAGGATAAGCTGCGATACAATTGTACTGGTGGTACGCTGGGGTTTTTTGATATCGTTTGGGTTTGGTGTGCGAAAACACCAGCAGTTTGGCGATTACAATGTCTATTGGGGTTGATGGGCAAAAATGTTGTATTTCTAGTGAAGTTCTTACTAGGGGTTTGGTTCTTCCCAAATTTCTTCTCCTCTTTCCTACCCTATTACCCACCATGCATTAGTGGAGACCTTTTCAAGTGTAATGCGTCCCACATGAATTCTTGGTGGATTATTGATGTAGAAGGCTCACACAATTGAGCTATTCATGGCTCATGAGCATCTACCAACAGGTGTCTTATGTTCATTAAGTCTGTATTCGGTTTGTTTTACAAATGAGCCGGTTACTCATACCCTGTTGAGCCTCTATGGTTGTGAACATAATAAATTCACAGTTGTTCATAAATTTGACTACGGCTCTCTATCCCCCATAATCTTTAAAGTGAAGCGAGTTTTTTTTTCCTCTTTCATCCTGTTTGGGCCCGGAAGCAACCATCCTTGAGAAAGTTTAATAGCTTGCCGAGGGCAACCCCTTTCCCGAGAAAGGAACTAATTGTTAACTTTGTTCAAAGTGAGAGAAGAGAGGAGAAAGATAGAGAAAAAAAAAAAATGTTATAGCTCATTAGACTATCTTTTGACTTAAATAATAAAAATAAACAATAGAGGTCCTATATATACTAGGTCAATATAAATAAAGTAAACGACCCAACTATCCTTAATACTAAATATATCTAATAAGATAGCTATCACTTTGAATTTTATACCCACATATTTTTCCTTCCTATTTCTATCATATCACTCATTTCTATCACCAGTTGAATTATGTAATTTTTAATTAATTTGGGGTTCAATACAACTTTTATTTCAGACATTGTTTGTATACGATAATGTATACATGTTGATATTTTTTTGAAGTTATGTATTTTGAGAAAATTTTGTCTATTCTTTTTTTTAAAATAATAGATAGAAATTAATTTTAAATTATGTAATTAGAGAAATAAAAGAAAAGAAAAATTGTTATTTAATATAGTGTAATCGATCTTTTGGGCGTTCAAATTTTATGTTGTATCATATTTTCAGGCATGATGTATGATTAGTATCTAAATATACTCTAACACTAAGGACTGAAACACGAGGAGAGGCGACTGAACAGGAGGAGAGAAGGCTTCACGAGACATACTAATTTAGATAAATGACAGATAATTTAGGTAGTCTATTATTTCCTTTTGAAGAGGATTCTCATTGACATTTGAATTCTTCTTTTTTTTCCCAATTTTGTTTTATTTTTTAATAAGAAACGACGATATAATGCGAAAGATAGTGCAAAAAAAAAAAAAAAAGCAAAGTGGGGTAAGTCAACCAAATCAAAGACAAGTGAAAGAAAAAAAAATACAATATTACAAAATACCAGAAATTGCTGTCTACATAAAACTATTCATCTCGAAACAATGCAAGAAAGTGGCACGTTATCAAACTCTTCAAGACACTGAGGCCCAGAAGGAGTCCACCATCCTTCGGTTCTCACATTTATCATAAAAAATTCTCTCATTTCTTTCCCAACCAAATAACTCAAACAGTAGCAAAACAAGCCAAAGTTAAAGAGTCTTCCGTCTTCTATTTACACCCCAATCTATAATATCCAAGCATATCATAGATGTCATAGTTCTCGATACCACTCAATAAAGACCCCCAATGTTAAATAACTTGTCCATAGGGAAAGCGTAATGGGACAAATGTAAGAATAAGGTTGGGTTTGATGTAACTTCTCCAAATATAAGTCCGTCTTCTAAATGGACTTTTTGAGATGCACTTTACTTGAAGGACTTTTATCAAACATTAGACATTTGATAGACGTATATTTTTGATGGACTTTTTAGTTAAGAATTAAATCCTATTATATAATTTGTGGGCCTCCCTCGCCAACTAGGGGCTAAGGGTACGGTCCCATGGAGGTACTATGTTAAATCTGATCCTGATCATTAATTTTAATTTGGATGATTATTAATCATTGATTGAAAAAATAATAAATTATTAAAAAAAATTATATGCGACACATTTTTATTAGATGAAAGGTAAAAAGTACAGTACCGAAAGTGGTATTTCGATATTGTTATCGAAAAATTATAGGATTGAATGTAAAACCCCAAAAAGTTATAAGTGATACTAAAATAATTGTACATAACCTCTTCAAAATTATACATGGTGATACAATAGCATTTTTTTTTTGAGTAGTCTATGGTACCGAAAAAAATTTTGGTACCTTACCGCCATTTACTATTTTTATGGGTGTTTTTATCACTGTTGTAGTAATTGTTTTTATCACTTTTGTGGTATTTGCAATCGATCCTAGAAATTGTAAAAACACCCATTTTAAAGTTGTAAAAAAAAATTCGGTACTTTACCGCCTTTTACTATTTTTATGGGTGTTTTTACAACTGTTGTAGTAACTGTTTTTATTACTTTTGTGGTATTAGCAATCAATCCTAGAAATTGTAAAAACATCTATTTTAAAGTTGTAAAATTTGGAGGTACGGTACCCATTTTTTTTTTCCCGGTACCGTAGTCTTTTTTTTTTTGGTGACAACGGTGTTTGATTAGAATGATCTAGGCAAAGATATTGCATAACAGGTATTATCTTAGAAAAATTGGGATAGTAATGAAATTTAAACTTTAATGACTCAAACCAACCTTGCGAGGAGTTGAAAAGCTCCACTTTGAGAAGTTACCCAAGGAGGCTTCTTGAAAACGTGCATGCACTTCCGCAAAAATCACTTTGCAAAGGTGCACCAAATGGTGAATGCCATTGCAGAAGCACATGCATCCATGGGAAGCCCATTTTGGTTACCCGCCAAACAATAAATGATCAATGCTCTCACTGTTACTTCCCGATTTCTTTAAGCATCCCCTTCCATCTCCAACAACATTGTTTTCTATTTGTAACACAACTGAAGGTTGCAAACAAGGAAAATCAATAACCCTTCTTTCCTTTTTGGTTTGTTTCTTTGTTTTGACACACTCTTTATTCTCCCTCTTCGATCTGTTCATTAATTGCTAAGGACTAAATCAAGATAATGGTTTGCACAATGTCATTTAAGATGAGGTGTGCATTGAGACACGAGGTCTCCTGGGGCCTAAGCACGATGTGCAATGCTAGGTGAACAACTCATTGAAGCTAGAAGCATGTAACATGTAGAAAACTTTTTATGAGAGTATTAATAAGAAATTTATGGTACGCTTTATCCATTACATACTAACTAGTAACATGTAACCAACACAGATATGAATTCCAACACTATCTGTGACTACTTGGAACACATTTTTGATTTTAAATAATGCAATAATGACTATGAGGTGATTAAACAATTGCCCAATTAAGAGTACTAGAATTGAAAATTTGATCGATTAAGCAATTAACCACAACAATACAAATATTAAGCAAATAAAGCAGTAAACCCATGGAGCAAATTAAGTAATTAAAAATTTAGCAATTAAGATGATAGATGAGATGCCATGCTATTGTTGCAATTTCCCATTGCCCAAATAGAAGGAAAATAAAATGAAATCATTTAATATCTGTGCTTGCAGCAAGTGGTATATAAAAAGAAAAAAAAGAGAGGAAGAAATATAAGTAGAAAGTAGATGAAATAGTCCGTTGCCACTGGCCACGTGTGACTATTTAGTTTCTGACATGGACATATGGTCTTTTCAGGAATTGGCCGTGCTTAGTAGCTCACGGCCATCCCAACCCCCACTGCCCAAAAATAAAAAGTAGGATAAGTGTCAGGATTTAGATTGAATTATCTTGAAAACCAATTCTATTACATTTCCTTTGCATCGTTACCGTATATGATTAGGGCACACAACAATAATGTGTGGTGGGCCATTTGGCGGCAAGCTGCTAAGCTATAGCTATTCTTACTTTGATTAAGGCATTCCTTTTTCTAGTGCAACACAAAAATGCTCCTTTTGAAGAATGCTAAACCGGAAAAACCCTTAATGATGAGGCTCATTTTTGAGTGTGTGATGGGATATTCCATTATATAACTTGAATTCTTCCTATGATAACTAAAAGATAAAATAGAAAGTGAATCTTTTTCTTGGACTGGGTTAGCCCCCCCACCCCCCCCCCCACCCACAAAAAAAAAAAA